CAATGTTGGCTATTAACTATCACAATCACTCAGTATGCAAAAAATAATTTAACACTACTGCCTTATGACAGAAGGAAATTAAAATTAAATTATTACTTATATACGTATTTTGTTCAAAGAGGCTTAATCAATTAAAAACACCTCCCAACCATTAGGTACATTTAATTATGGAGAGATTCTGTTGCATAGTAGAAATCAGTTCAAGGAAAATGAGACGTGATAAAACCTGCCTGTGGAAGGAAAAATTCATTCACTTGTCACTCTGTTGCCCAGGCCAGTCTAGAGCTCATGATCCTCCTGCCTCGGCTCCCAAGTCACTAGGATTATGCGTGCCCACACTGCGTGTGGTCTTCCAATTGGACCAGAAAGCCAACCTAGGCCTCCCATGTGGTTCTGGCCTGCAGAGCCCCGTGTCTTAGCGGTGCAGCAGGGCCTTGTTCACTCATTTTGTGCACGGAGAGCACAGGGCATGAAAATACTATGTCGTTCAAATTCCTTTTATTATATTTTTAATTGTGATAAAGCATGCTTTCTTAGTGAGTTACTAAGTCACAGCCAATCACAATAGTCATACTCCCGTCAATCACAGAAAGCCCACCTAGCATTGCCATGCAATCTGGCGTCGTGCTGTAACCAGTCCAAGTAGTTCTCAATCTCATTCCCTTACTTCCGTTTTTTTTGGACATCATTGTCAGTTTGCATCAGTGGTTTGGGAGTACTTTACATGTTTTCCCCTTGATTCCCAGAGCTTAGAGAACTAAATCAAAGTAGATTGAGAGGGAAGTCAAAGGGTGCCTAGTAGCTGTGACTGGCATGTGAAACCGCAGACGTCCGTGTGGGATGGGTGGCACCTATTCTGTCTGTCTTTGAGGCCTTTTCTTTGGGCCACATCAACGTGGTGCTACTGAGTCTTAAGTAGCCTCTTTTCTTAACCAGCCAGAAAGCATTGTCAGAAGATTCAAGATCTTTAATTTGCATTTAATAAAATAACAATAAAAATAAACCCATTATGAGGCCAGCAGGTGGCTTATTGGTTAAGGCACTGTATTCCCACCTGGACAACTGTGGTTCAAGTCCTGGATCCAGTGACTTAAAATGCATGCCGAGTACATGTGGGTGCGTGCCCAAAATCCCAGGAGGAGAATGGAGAAGGGATTGCAGCATGGTCGTGCCCCCGCGGTGGGGGGCGATGATTTCTCACTTTCCCCTTCAGCATCTCTGTCTCTGTCTCTCTGACAAGTGCACATGCCCTGTGGCAAAAACCTAAAAAAAGATTTAAATGAACCTATTATAAAAATGCTTCAATGATTTTTATATTTAATACTTAAATTTTCTTCAGTAACTTTGTTAGGTAAAGAAAAAATCTAACCAATAATACTAAACAAAGAATGATTACATTCAACTTGAAGAACTCCTAGTCCTAAGTTATACTTGTTTCTGACACTAGAACTAGAGAATTTCTTGAAGCACTCATTTAGATATAATGGCATTTGAACCATGGAATGACGTCATTTAGGTGGACAACAGCGGGATTAATATTCCTTACTTAGGCTCCATGGCTATTCATTTGAAAGAGAATCAAATCATAAATTTACATTAATCTTCTGCTGAAGACAAAATAAGTACATTTTTCACATTTGCAAAAAGCTTACAATAATAACTTTTTAGTTCAAAAGGTTCGTTCACACTTTAAAAGAAGAGCAAATTTGCCAGCACATTAATTAACTTAAAAATAATGATTTATACTCTGAGGGCACACAGAAAATAGCAGAAAGGGAAAAGGCAGTGTTGTTTTCCTTTTAAGACTCCTGATTTGTCATCAGTCAATTACAGTGTTTGTACCCTATATTTTGACTTGGAATTTCAAAGCATGATAGAATTCCAGATCTAGAAGGGACCAGGCCCATTGTGCTTAGTTACAGAAGGGGAAAAGGGTTTCTCAAAACTCAGAGTAGATCTTGGGCTGGAATGTGAGATTCGGGCTCTTATTTCTATCCTGCTTCTCCCATGGCCTGGATTCCAGGCTGGAATGCTGGACCACTGGCTGCATGGACCCACCTTCTCAGCTGTGGTGAGGGTGAATACCCAGCAAGGTAGCTCCAAGCTTCCTATATGTTATGGGTTTCCATTTAGAGATGTTGAAGGAGGGCCAGCCCATGGCATGGTGGTTAGGGCAATTGGATCCCAGTAGGGGATCCAACTGTGTAGTTTGAGTCCTGGACCCAGCGGCCTCTGGAGATCACGCTTGGCACTGAGCATCTTCACATGGTTTAACACGTGTGTACTTTGTGATTTCTCATTCTCTGTTAATCTAAGAGTTCACAGTTGGCTTAATTTAGACCACTGACTCCCTGCCTTTTACTGATTAGTTTATATTGCCTCAGAACTTTAAGGATTATAAAATAACCCAGAGAAGCATTTGTGACCTTTCAACCAGATAGAAGGGTGTGAGGTATGGCTGGATCCCACCTTATCCAGCAGGGTGCATTCTGAGCTCCAGGGGAGCATGCCAGGAAGACCTCCTGGCTCCAGAGGCCCTGACACCTGGACTTGGGGGCCAGGTGGGAAAATGGCTGTGGGGAGCAGATGTCTCAGGTAGCTTGGTACTAGTGTGAGAGCTACTAGACAGGTAAGGGGGTCCGCTGGACCGAGCAGTTAGTTGATACCAATTGTGTGCTGATGCCTCCCTCCGGGCAGCCTGCCCTGTGCCTGTGGAAGCATGACTGGTGTCGGCATCACCATACGGCTTTGTCACTTCTTCTTTATGCCTGTCCCCTCATAAACCATTAGTCACTGGGAGCCCTGACTTGGTCTTGGAAATCTGTGTCCCCTGGTTCAATGGGAGGCCCTTTCCTGGCACCCACCCAGCAGTGAGACCTGACAGTCACATTCCGTCCTCACCAGAGCCCTGGCCCACCTGCCAGGACACAGAGAGCTGCTCTGCTGGAGTCTGAAGCCAGGTCTCTGACAGCGAGAGCCGCGTGCTCTTTCTCACCACCCCACCGTTCATACACAGCATAGGCAGGAAGACAGTGTTGGTTTTCACTGGCCTGCCCGTTAGGATATGGTGGCGAAGGAAGGCGGGATCTGAACGTCAGGATGGGGCATGGCCTGTGAGTGTGTGAGGGCTGCCCAGTGGAGCCATTTTCTGAATTGGGTTTGGCCCTTGCAAGGCATCTCAGTGCGGATTCACAGGCTGCATAGAGGGAGCAGCCAGCCACCGTCCCTGAAGCTGACAGCTTTTTGCCAAAAAGTTTCCAGACACGTGACCGATAGCAGTGTCTCCACCACTACACGCTTTTCCAGTCTGGTGACTGAGCCGGGAAGACAGGCAGAGGAGAGGGGTGTGCTGTTGAAGAGTTCACTGCATTGAGCATATCGCCTTGTGTGTCGGTGCTTCCCTAAACAACTCCTGCCCATTCTGTTCTTCGCTTTTACGCTTTTGTGACTTGTATGTTCTTTTTAAACTTTTGCTTTTTTATTTGTTTTATTGTTGGAGATCTCAAACAAACCAGACCTGAAGAGATTTTCCTTCAATGTTATTAATCATCTGTTGTCTGGTTAACCTGTAGGTGACGTGGAGTGTGATTACGATGTCACACTGCCAGTGAGTGGTGACATGAAGTGCACACTCCAAGAAGCCCACGGGCCCTTCTCCACCTTAGCCTCCAAAGCCTGCATATCTAGGAAGGATTTTAAAGCAGAATACACTGGAATCAAACAAAACATGGTTTTTATTTTCTGGATTACCATAAACAATGCTTGGAGCATATATGTTGAAGTATCTTAAAATTAAAATCTATGTCCAGTTAAACAGCTCTGGTCCGCAACTGATCTGAAGTTGTATATTCCTGTGCTTTAAACTCCAGCCCAAGTACAGAGAGCTTTCTGTGCCTTGACAGAAACGAGAAGCTCAGTGAGAGAGGAAAAAATTACGACCTCGCCCTCCTTAACACTTTGTGTGATCTCCAAGTGGCTAGATCAGTGAGTAGAATGGCTACAGTGTCCTCGGCAGGCCTGTGACTGTCGGGCCAAGCTTGGCTCTGAGAGCGAGTCTCACCTGTGTGCATTTCCTTTGTCTCTGCTGCAGCCAGTCCCTGCACAGAGACCTCCCCCAATGGTACTGTACTTGGTTTCTTTTTAATTTTATGTGAATTTTCTCTCAAAACCTCCTATTTAGACTAGAACTTACTGTCCCACCTATAAACATTAAGGGCAAGCCTAAAGCTGAGGAAGACTGCCATTAATATTTTAGACCAAATTTCCAATGTTAACTTGGAAACATTTGTCAGAGACCCCTGAACCAATATGATTTTGTTTTCTAAAAACTTTATTTATTTTTTTTTTGAGAGGTTTTTGCTATAGGGCGCGTACGCTTGCCAGACAGAGAGAGACAGAGAAATAGAAAGGGAGAAATCACCCCCCAGGGGGGATGGCCATGCTGCAATCCCTTCTCCGTTCTCCTCTCGGGATCTTGGGCATGCACGCACACGCGCCCAGTGTGAGTTTTAAGCCACCGGGTCCAGGATGCGAACCGCGGTCGACTACATGGGAGTCCAGCAACATAGCCATTACGCTAACTGCTGGTTCCCAACTTTATTCTTTTTTTAAGAATTTCTTTTAAAACAACTTCAGTTAGACTGAGGGTCAAACTAGAAGCAAATGCATTCACCATATCATTAGTTCGAATGTTTAAATGTCTGCCTATAGTCATATAGAAAAGACAGATTTAAAAAGCTAATTAGTCAAATACTAATTTGTGGTGGGGAGGATTTGGGGCCTTATCGCAGACACCTGAGGCTCCTTCTGAGTTAAAATGCTCCCTGAGGAGGCTGTACTGTTCAACTGAGGGTCTCCTTTACTCGGAGTGCTCTGCATTCCAGGCTTCGGTGGGGCCAGATAGGTTGAGGGTGCTCTAGAAACCAGATAGGTTGAGGGTGCTCTTGAGGCTGTGTGGCATCTGGAGTACTTCACTGACCTGTCCTTGCTGTTCTGTCCAGTGAGCCTGCCCCTGGGGCGCGGCTGCCACTGTGGTGTGGACGGGCCATCCGAGGCCGAAGAGACCGTGTCTGTGGGCAGCTGTTACGCATCGGAGGATACGACTGAGGACTCGGGCGTGATGAGCTCTCCCTCGGATATCGTCTCTCTGGATTCACAGCACGACAGCTCCAAATCCAAGGATAGGTGGGCCACGGACCAGGAGGACTGCAGTGACCAGGACCTCGCTGGAACGCCAGAGCTGGGTCCCCAGAAGAGCCCTTCATGGGAGCAGAATGGTCCTGCATTGTCACAGCCAAGGTGAGTCCTTGCACGGGAGGGGAGAGAGGCACCTGGTCCTATGTCCCACCTGGGAGAAGGGCAGCACTTCATGACGTGCCAGGAGGCCTCTGTGGAAGTCTCCATGCCCTGATTTGGGCAGAGTCGTGTCTTCACTACAGATGTGCTCGCACTCAGAAGTAACACCTTGTAGTGTCTTGGGCGTTTTACACTTGTATATGTGGCTCCATCCTCTCAGTGGCCTTTTCCGCCCAGCTTCACATTTTTGACATTAGTCCTTGATTATACACATGCCATTTAATTATTTATCCATTTTCCAATTAATGCACATTTAGATGGCCCCAGATTTTCCAACCTGGAAACAGTGAGTAGATTGCATGGAGTCTCTTAGAAGGTAAGCTCTTAGACCAATCACAAAGACTCATCTTCAGCTTTATGGAGTATGGACAAATTGTCCTCTAAAATGCTGGTCCAGTCGACAGGCCCCACAGTGGCCTGTGACATCCCAGCATACCACGGCAATGCCGATACTTGGGAATGCTAGCCATCTGAAGCTGTGCTGGCCACACAGGTGTCACGTGGCGTCTCCCTGGCTTTGATTTACAGTTCCCTGATCAGTAAGGACTAGCGTCAATATATCGTCATCTGTTTCTTAGCGATTTGGATTTCCTTTTCTGTAAATTGCCTTTTAACTACCCTTTGCTTTTTAAAGAAATGGTTATGTTTATCTTTTTTTAATTATTAATTTCTCTTTTGTCAGCTATTTGCACATGGAGAGGCTCTATGCCCATGGCTTGAATTTTACTTTGTTTTCTTTTACAACAATTGCCTTTTAATGTTAATGCCATTGAACTTGTCCTTTTTCTCTCACATGTGTGTGATCTTTACATGTTTAAGAAGACCTCCTGGGGCCATCAGGTGGTGTAGTGGTTAAGGCACTGGACTGCCACATGGCCATCTGCAATTCAAGTCCCAAACTCAGCAGTTTGGGAGGAAAAAAAAAAAGTGTGTGTGTGTGCGCGTGCGCCCAAAATCCTGAGGGGACACTGGAAGAGAAGGCATTGTGGTGTGGCCATCCCCCCGGGGGGTGATGTCTCACTTTCCTACTCTCTGTCTCTCTCTTTCTTTCCAGCAAGTGCATGTGTCCTATGGCAAAAAAAAAAAAAAAAATCATTTCCATGCCCCTAAAGGACTACAGAGCCTGAATTTCTTGTGAAAATTTGCTTTCTCACATTTGGGCTCTTGTCTACCTAGGGTTTATTTCTGGAGGTGGTGTGAAGGGAACTATTTTTGCCCCACTGACTCCTGTGTCTGCCTTGGTCAGATTCTGAGCTGCCACATGCACCCAGTCTGTATCAGTGCTCTTTTTCTTAGCGCTGGTTTATTTGTCCTCGGTAGCAATACCACAGTCTTGATTCCTTTTGTTCATTCTTCTATAGAAAGCATGTTGATTCTCGTCACTCATCATTTGCTGCACCCTTTAGGTAACTTTAAGAGCAAGTCAAATAAACATTATTATAGTAATGTGAATAGAAATGAGGCTGAATGATTTAAAAATAGTTCCTAAGCGAATGAATGCTTTTATGTCTTTCATATTCCAACTCTGTGAGTATGAACACACAAAGCTTTATCTGGATAATGCTATTGTATTGTCAGTCATATTTATTTTGATTTCTTTTTGCCTCGCGGTTTTATCACAAGCACATGCCCATGTCATTATACGGACTTTCTAAGAACAGCTCTTCAATCTTGAAGATGCTTCCAAGGCCAAGCTTAAATTTTTTCAGAAAAGACTTAGAGGAGTAATCGGTCCCGTCCTACCTCTGTCCCAGGTTGATGCGTTTAGCGGAGGCCAGCCTACATTGCTTACATCTGTGAGGGCAGAGACAAATGATGGTGTTTCCCTGTTTGCCACTTAACAGAAAGAAAAATGGGTTTCCACTGTGAGCTCCAGGTCTGTCCTGCTCATTTGCATGGGATTGCACACCTGCGAGTTCCACATCTGAAACTCAGACACCGCTAACCCTGTGCCCTAGGAATGCCACACGAGAGAGCCTCAGTTTGCATTGCCAGTGCTGACACTTGGTGTAAAAATCTTGGTGATTTCTTCCCAGAGATGAAAGTCTGTGGCCATCACCAGGGGAATCACTAAGTCTTTGTGACCTGATTCATGGTGCCCCATTTTGTAAACTAAAAGTACAAATCTAGACAATGGATTTCGACAACAGGGCCTTATCCAAGAAGGGAGCAGGTGTGTGTTTCTGCCCTTATCTCGGGGGGGGGGTGTCACTGATTTTGAGAGTAGTGTGGTGAGGTGGGAGGGACTTTGGAAATGTGACAAACCTACAGGGGTGGTGGGATGCCACCTACATGTTCTTTGGCCCTTGAGAGTCCATTCAACCTTGCCAAGCCTTAGGTTTTCATGATACACAGTGCAGACGTGACACCTACCTACCAGAGGTGGCATGAGTCCATAGAATGTCCAGTCCAGGTTGCCTATCCACTAATCAGTATTCATTGTCGAAATTCCTATTAATAGTTTACAAAATGGGGCACCATGAATTTTCATGGAGATCACCTCCCTTCACATCAGCAATTCAGTCAAATGAGGATAAAGGTGACCCTCAGCCCTATGTAGAACTAAGTTGTTTGCCCAAAAGCTATGCAATTTTTCATGAGATGACTATACCTTCTTGTTGAGTTTTACAGGAAGTATCTCAATGATAAACTAGACATATATAGAGATTTCAGTATGGTATATCACATATTTATTGGGTCATTGGAAATGTTATGATGCATTATTGCATAGAAAAATTGGACTTTTTAGACAACACAGTATTTCTAAAGACGTGATTTTCAGTAAATGTCCAGATGACTTAAGAACACGATTCATGTGTAAAGCAGAGGTTGTGAGCTCACAGCCTCCAGACGAGAGCAAAGGTGAGGCTGACGGAGGCTCAACAGGCGGAAGGTCACAGGGAGTGGAGGAAAACATAGGAGTTCACGCAAGAGGGCAGCCCTCCTCCCTCCTTCCAATTTGTTGCCTTGCAGGATTACAGGCCCAGCATGGCTAATTTTTAAAGAGATGCCAGAAATCTAGATTTTTTTTTTATGTGAAGTCTTCCAAATTTTAAATGTTGGCAACCAATTCAAACCTTCAGAGCCAAACTAGACCATATGCTAGCTGGTATGGCCTGTTCCCAGGACTGAGGGATGCTTCAGCCAGTGCTCCTTCCCGAGAAACCAGCTCGGCTTGGCCTGCCTGTTTGCCAGTCTGAGGCAAGATCTGCAGCTCTGCAGGGGTTACCTGTGTTATGTTGCTTGAAAATGCCTATTGTTCACAAATAAATTAGGGAAGCCATTGTTTCCTCTTCAGGCTCAGCGGGACATTAAAGGTTCTTGCCAATTCGGCAGCGGAGAACGCAGTTTAAGTCCCAACCCCACTGTGAAATGCCTCTTGATGTCCTTTGGAGTGAGTCCTCCCTTACACATTCTTTGGGAAATGCCAGTGTATATCACTACCTGCCACACTGTCACACTTGAAGCATATGCACACACACACAGGTCGGTCTGTGGGCTGTGGGAGAATACTCCTTTTTGATGAAGAGTGCATTCCAGGGATAAGCTTTGTGTTCACATCAACAGTTAGTCATGCTGAGAGACGGGAGTGCAAGAAGGCAGAGACAGCTGAACAGGTTAGAAGTGGGGATCTGGACAGATCAAAGGGCTGACCAGTCTATAGACCCTGGGCAGGGGCTGAAGGAGCAGACCCACTGCAGATGTCCAGCTGGTAAGGCGTCCAGGTCTGGGAGATGCAAAGCCATGCTAGGAGGCTGACAGCCCCAAATCAAGTGGAAATTGTGTGAGAGCAGAACCCTCTCTGTTCCCAGGTGTGGTCTGAACCTTGGCCATCAAGACAGAAACACCACCTGAGAACACTCCATGGTCAGAAAATACTAACCGAGACATGCAGTAACTAAGAAGAGGTTTTCTGGGGACTTGCACTCTCAGGGGAGCAGGCAGTGTGGTCTGAGGCTTTACCCAGCATGCAGAGCTTCCCTTCTCCTATGCCCCTGAAGTAGGTGCCCTAGGACCATATTTGTAAGGAGGAGGGGTGTCACTTCAAGTCTTTAAATTTATGTCTTGCATGAGAGACAAAAAAAGACACACAAGCATCCTCAACAAGGTCTTTATGTTGTGATCCAACCTCAGTCTGCATGGGTCATGAGTACACATATACCCAGTGTGTACAGGGAGATCTCAGGACATAAACCCAGTACCTTCCCATGTGGCCTCGGCACCACAGAACATTGCATGACTGCTGAGCCACTGGACCAGCCCTGAAACCTGATTTATGCAACTAATCTTCCCAGAGGAGGCTTGTCCTGCATGGGACAGGGATGATCCTGAGCCCAGCAGAGACATGACACCTCTCCACCCGCTTTGAATGTCTGCCCCTGGGGCTCTTACAGTGCAGAAGTTATGCCAGTCCTGGGCTGGGAGCTGGTTCTGGTAGGTCGTGACTCTGTTCCCTGACATCTTAGACACCCTCAGTTCACAGGAAATCCCTATGGACCAGTCAGGGTAAAGTGGAACTGCTCGTGGTTTTCAGCTTTGCCAGAGTGGTGTGTTCCATAGCTACCCCTCTGTCACTTGGGCATTCCCTGAACTCTGGGAGCAGCATTATTTTGGATGTTGTTTTGTTTTCTTTCATTGCCAGAGGATACATGTACTCACTGGAGAAACACAGAAAGAAAGACGAAGGAAGTACCCTCTGATGGGGCATGGTCATGCAGCATTTCTCTTCCATTTCTCCATCTGGTTGGGGTTTGGGGCACATACACACCCACCGTTCTTTCTAAGCCACTGGAACTGGGATTAAAACTGTAGTCGGCCATGTGGAATCCATGGCTCTTCACCACCAGGCTACAGGGTTGGTCCTGAGAATAGCATTAAGACCCTTCATGACCTGAGAAAGAACCATGTCATAAGGTCTACATGGTTATACTCCAGTATTCTTG